TATATATATATATATATATATATATGTATATTCATATTTTTGTCATTTTTTCTGCTATAGCTCTGAAATTTGTACCAGCATTATGAATGGCTGTTTGTGTCATATTTTATCATTCATAAAACTAAAAGGGGTGTGTGACTTAAAGACTGTCATAATTTTTATGTATTAAGCTCACTTTTCTAGTTCCAACAATATTTTTACATCAAAAGAATTTCATTATTTCATATGAGAGTGAAACATTTATAGAATGTTGTTTGGCCATAACAAATTGTCACTGTTCATTGGTAAACATACCAATATTAGGCTTTATATCCCATTTTGTAAAAATGTACAACAATGATAACATACAAATACTTATATAAATATTTTGTGTTTTGAGCATAAATTATGCTTAATGAATTTGAGACTTTAGTTAGTTGGATCACATGATAGATGTAGGCTGATACTAATGTTGTAACCATTATTACTACATATATATATATATGTTGTTTCCATTCCAATATTAGACCTAGCATAAATGTGTAATGTACATAGATATAGATATATATCAGTATCTGGTAATTATAATTTTAATTGTAAAAATGTAACTCCTGTCACTGATCACCATTCAAGCAGTTACATCAGTCAAGTTTACATGAGTAATTTTGTATTAGAAGCTATACTGTAATCAGTGCAATAAAATATGAAGAAACATAATAGGAGATTGTTATTCATAACAAATTCCATAGCTGAACACTATTTAAAACCCATTGAAACTAACCATTAAGAATTGCCACTTGGAGTGAAAAAAAAATGAATTGATTTTGAATGAAACATTACACCCAGGAATAAGTTAAGAATATAATTGGAATTGAATAATATTTTGTACCATGTACAGTATTGTGCAAAAGTGTTAGGACAAAGTCAAAATTTTGATTTCAGTCTACTTTCAAAGAAAAAAGGAAGGTAAATCACAGGGGCAACATCAAAATTTTATTCATCTTCATATTAAATACAACAGAAACACAGTAGAAGTGCTTGAGTTCAGCAAACAGTTAATATTTTGTATGTCCCCCCCTTTTGCTTCAATAACTGCAGACAGTCTTTCAGGCATTGTTGCAACATATTTAATCAAAGTGTCCTTTGGGATTTTACTCCAAATGTCTCTAATACACTCCCATAAAGTTTCTTTGGAAGTAACTTTTGATTTGTCAAGTTTTGATCTATCAAATCCCAGATCTACTCAGTTGAGTTGGGATTGGGGCTCTGTGGGTGCCATTGCATCATTTGAGTGACTCCAGCAACTTCTTTCTTAGCTAAGTAATTTCTGCATATGTTGGATGAGTGTTTGGGGTTATTATCTTCTTGGTGGTAGAATCCTTTACCAACAAAACACAAACCACTGGGTATACCATGATGGATCAGTATCTGATGGTGCTTGTGCTGGTCCATTATTCCATCTATTTTGCAAATATCTCCTGTCGCCTCAGCAGAAAAACACCCCCAAACCATCATATTGGCTTCCCCGTGCTTCATGGTAGGTACTGTGCATTGAGGCAAGTATCTTTCACCTTTCTTCCATTGGATGTACAACCTACGCTTTGAACCAAATATTTCAAACTTGGACTCATCCATCCATAACACCCTTTTCCAATAGTCCAATTTTTGATGTTTCAGCAAATTTCAGTCTGTTGACAATAGTTGGAGATTGAAATAAAGGTTTTTAACTGCTACATGACCAAATATTCCATTCTTGTTGAGTGTTCTTAATACCTTAGATCTGGACAATTTTCTGTCATTTGGTACATGGGCTTTTGTCTCATGCTTTAGATCAGTGGCAGTCTTCCTTCTGTCCCGAAGACTGCATAAACGAAGATACTTAACATCTTCCTTTCCTATTTTCAAATTTACCTGTCTTGGTATCACGATCTAGGGTGTACTTGACAGTTTTTGGGGAGTATTTCAAATCTGCAGCAATTTGTTGGAGAGTCCAACCAGCATCATAAAGCTTTTATGCAAACTCTCTGCTCTACTGACAATTCTTTATGCTTTTGGGCCGTGGCATGACAACAAAACTTAATATATAGTGTTAAACACTGTTTTATCAAGGTTTATTTGTGGAATACTATTAAATTGATTTCTTCTAGCATATACCAGTGCCATATGCTAGCTCCTTGCTATCTTCTTTGTATATAGTTAAGACACTGGTTGGGGTACCATGGCAGTTATTTCAGACCCTAAATTTGATCAGTATGTTCATTCAAGCAGAACCGTTATGACATACACTTGATACAAGTATATGGGAACTCTAAAGAATGATAAGTATTCTCATCCAGGCTTATTCAGTTGTCCACAGGGATCAGTGAAGCATTACCATAGTGTTGAAATTTACATTCTGTAATGGCATGGAAGAATTACCCCAATATAATGGAAATATTGAGAAAATATTCTATTGTCCTAACACTTTTGCACAGCACTGTATAACAGTCTTATTTCTTTGTATTTTATTTAGCTGATTGTGTTATATCAAATGGTCTCATAGAAAACTTAGTTAATGTAACTCATTGAATGATGATTAATGTTGAAAATTGAATTTTATAAATAATATTCTTGGTTAGTTATTATACGTTAATACATACACTCTCCTACACACACACACACACACACACACATATATATATATATATATATATATATATATATATATATTATATAATATATATACTACTACTTATTATTATA